CGTCCTGCCTGGCTGTTTGCATAGCTGGAGTGAAGCTTTGTTTACAAAGAGGCTGAAATGGAGGAGGCAGCTTCATCCAAGCCATGCTGAAAGAGAGGTGGGAGAAGGCCAGGACAGCACAGTGGTTCTCAGCTCTGACCCATACATTTTTGCTTAGGACTTAAAGCCAGGGCAGGAATCAGCTTTGCATCTCCTTCCTTCACACCATGGACGGCTGCCCCAGCAACAGCCACAGGTGAGAGGCCTGGGGATGAGGAGTGCCTGGGCATTTGCTCCCTGCCCCATGCTTACCCATGTGAGGAGGGCAGTGAGACTCCGTCCTGTCCAGTCGAAGACATTAAAGAGCAGGAAGCAGGAGACAGGGATGAAGTAGAGATCTGCAGAAGGGGGTGAAGGTCACTGACATGCCCAGGGATTTCCAGGCCCTCCAGCCAATTGTATGAAGACTGTCTTTCAAGTCTGGGTCCTCCTGGTTTCCCACTAAGGGCTGGAACAGTCTCCCAGTCAGGCTAGTGTCCACATACAAACCATCCTGCACAAAGGTCTCCTCTTCCCCTCAGGCACCCCTACTACTTCAAGCTCCACTTTCTTCCCTCCCATTTACCTTGTTCCCAGTTTCCTCCTACCCCACCCCATCCCTGGCCATGCTTACCCCATTTGTTTCCCTCTCCGAGAACAGTGGACACCTTGGCTGTGATGGAAGGAAAGACGCCGATAGTGACAGTGAAGACGAAGCAGACGGACACCGCCATGACCCAGAGCTAGGCAGATGAAAGGAAGAGGCTGGTACCAAACACAGGGCAAGAGACCAGTGCAGGGCAGGGGTTGCTGGCAACTCACAGACCTTCTTAAAAATTGCAACAACAGAGGGCTTCTCATCAGGGTTGTGGATAGGAATGATCTTTGAGTTATTCTGCTCCATCCCATTGGGCTCATCTGCAGGGAGAGACACAAGTAAGGCATAGCAGACCCCAGAAAGTCATGATCTAATTTAGTCCTTCTGTCTCATTCTTCCTCTCAGCTCTTCCTCTTTTTCCTTCCTCTTCCTCCTC